GATACGCCACCCTTAAATGATCTCCTTAAGATTTGACTCTCTGCCTTAAATCATTATACATTTCCAGGAGATTTTAAATGGGAAAACCTGCCCTCATTTTCATGAAAAAAGATCTATTCTGAGGAAATTCTTTGCCATCACTAATAACCGTTTACCTATCTCTGGCACTTTTGATAATGACAAACTGCTGGGCGTGCTGGATAAAGCCTCATAGAACCACTGTTTAAATCCTCTTGTGTAGATTCCATATCCAAAATGGAAGCTGTGATGCTCTATAAGTCAATTAAAGCATTAGGTAATCTAATTGTGCTGCAGCCACAAAGTAGCTTAAAAGCTGCTATAGATGTGAATAGTATACTAGCTCTTTCCATCACCCTTGCATACCCTTCCCCCCACCAGTTTGGCTATCCCCCATGGTATTTATGAAAGAGGGGAGAGAGCAGAATGTACACAGAAGTACAACAATAGTTCCAAGGGGACTTGCTCATGCAGATGTTGAAAAAGCCTGTAGCCAGAGGGCAAGCAATACTTTGTGCATATAGCAGTAGATCTGTATGCATGTAATATAATCAACAAAGTGGCAGTGGGAAGGGGGAAGGTTTTTCCTCTGCACTGAAATTTGGAATTTGTTTTGCCCACAGCAAGTTTCTCAATCTTGTCTCTGTTCATTAGTTAGTTAAGCGGGAAAAATGATCAGTGGAGAAATTGAGCAATTAAAGTTACTTATCCCGCAGACATTGATGTGCGATTAACATTCCTACACGCTGCTGTGATTACTTTTCTTTGTTCAATGTGTAGGATGGGGAGGCACCCAAAAAAAAAAAATTCAAATAGAAATCGTTCTATGAAGAATAAATGTGTACACCAATTTAATCATTTACTTAGGTTTTCTAAATATTTTCACTGCTTTACTGACGTAGCAGCTTTTTTGTTGTTGTGTTTGTTTGTTTTTTACGATGTACATTTCTATCAATATACTTTGTCTGAGTGTTGGAATGGATAGCAACATTTTGAAGGAAAAGTGTTATTATGATGCCTCTTGCCAGCCCAGGACTGTGTGTGCATGTGGCCCTTCAAAGGCTATAAATTCCAGTAATAAATGCATTTTAAAAAAGTGAAAATATTCTGCAGGGCTGTACATTTAGGATAGAACATACAATTTAAATATAATACAAAACACGAATATATACAGACAGACAATGGGACTAAGTGTGGTAGCAAGGTAGGAAGGGGACATCCTCAGCAATAGTCCCAAGGCGACATCCATAAGAGCCATATGTTGATATTTGGCTCTAGGCTTGTGAGTACCTGACTCCAATTCCTAATTATTCATCAGTACAGACAATATTACACTATATTGGTTTTTTTATATATATATTTCTTACAGACATATTCAGAAGTGTGACCAACCTACCATATTGTATGTATATACAATTTAAATAGACCAATACAAAAGATAAAGACGGCCCTACCTCCGAGCTGAGATCTAGCCTTAAGCTCTTTTATACAAAATATTTAGTTACGGAACCCGGGAGCTTACAATGTATTTGTAATTCAAACTATTCCTTTAAAAAAAATTGTCCTACATTATTTAGAACCTTATTTCTTGCATGCATATCATACATCTATATTGTGATTCTCCAGTTTATTTTAAATAACTGCATTTCTATGTGTGTTAGGTTACTAGATATCACATACTAACAAATCATGGAATATGGTGAAAACCGCTAGATTTACATTTTTTGGTAGAACATTTTGTATGTACTAAACCCCCAGTTTTAATCGGAGATGTATGTAACTTTAATAGTTATTTAGCATGTTTGATACTAAATGCACGGACTTCCGTTCAAATTTGGATTGCTTCATTGATGAATGTATAGAATACTAAAAGTATTCTATATAGCTGTATTTAACCAGCTGTTTTGATACCATACTGATCTTGAGCAGATATACACAGAGGGACAGTCAATTGAATTATGCATTGTTGGTGATAGATCTCAGTTGAACCAAGTTCAAGTTGTACACATTCAAAGGACCAAAAACACAGTTTTGTCATAAAACAATTTCTTCTTCTTCTTGGAACTTGTCCTGTACGCGTCCATGTTCGTTTATAACAGACTTTTACATTCTGGGTCGTTGTTGCTGCAGAAGGTTTCAAAAAAAAAAAATGTTTCATTTTTTTATTTTTTTTAATGTTTTTAAAAATTAATGAGAAAATCCCTGATTAATAGAGTACAATAAGTATAAAGGTATATGCTGCAATATATATATATATATATATAAATAAATATAATATATATATATATATATATATATATATATATATATATAGTTAATACAATGCTAAACAAAAATCTGCACACCAGTCAAGCCATAAGACTTGCTTTTCCCACAGAAATCCCAAATCAGCAGTGATGTTACAACCGCAAAGGATTCTGGGTGGGCATATGCAAATTAGTTTAACAAAGAATCACATTTTTGCCTCATTCCATTTTAAACATGGATTCCTTTTAATTTGTGTTTGCAGTATACAACTGCTTGGAACACAATTTAGGATAAGATGCAAAACCAGTGAACCACTCATGGACAGCTGTTTCGTTGTTAATGCAACTCTTCAGCATGAGGTTGGTTACTGGTTTGCTTAGTAGGCTTGGTAGTGCTTGGGAAGCAAAATTCAATTAGGTTATGGTGGGGAAAAATTGTGATTGAAAACCCCTTCCACCTGAAGTATGTGGATAGTTAATACAATGCTAAACAAAAATCTGCACACCAGTCAAGCCATAAGACTTGCTTTTCCCACAGAAATCCCAAATCAGCAGTGATGTTACAACCGCAAAGGATTCTGGGTGGGCATATGCAAATTAGTTTAACAAAGAATCACATTTTTGCCTCATTCCATTTTAAACATGGATTCCTTTTAATTTGTGTTTGCAGTATACAACTGCTTGGAACACAATTTAGGATAAGATGCAAAACCAGTGAACCACTCATGGACAGCTGTTTCGTTGTTAATGCAACTCTTCAGCATGAGGTTGGTTACTGGTTTGCTTAGTAAGGCTTGGTAGTGCTTGGGAAGCAAAATTCAATTAGGTTATGGTGGGGAAAAATTGTGATTGAAAACCCCTTCCACCTGAAGTATGTGGATAGTTAATACAATGCTAAACAAAAATCTGCACACCAGTCAAGCCATAAGACTTGCTTTTCCCACAGAAATCCCAAATCAGCAGTGATGTTACAACCGCAAAGGATTCTGGGTGGGCATATGCAAATTAGTTTAACAAAGAATCACATTTTTGCCTCATTCCATTTTAAACATGGATTCCTTTTAATTTGTGTTTGCAGTATACAACTGCTTGGAACACAATTTAGGATAAGATGCAAAACCAGTGAACCACTCATGGACAGCTGTTTCGTTGTTAATGCAACTCTTCAGCATGAGGTTGGTTACTGGTTTGCTTATTGAGGCTTGGTAGTGCTTGGGAAGCAAAATCCAATTAGGTTATGGTGGGGAAAAATTGTGATTGAAAACCCCTTCCACCTGAAGTATGTGGATAGTTAATACAATGCTAAACAAAAATCTGCACACCAGTCAAGCCATAAGACTTGCTTTTCCCACAGAAATCCCAAATCAGCAGTGATGTTACAACCGCAAAGGATTCTGGGTGGGCATATGCAAATTAGTTTAACAAAGAATCACATTTTTGCCTCATTCCATTTTAAACATGGATTCCTTTTAATTTGTGTTTGCAGTATACAACTGCTTGGAACACAATTTAGGATAAGATGCAAAACCAGTGAACCACTCATGGACAGCTGTTTCGTTGTTAATGCAACTCTTCAGCATGAGGTTGGTTACTGGTTTGCTTAGTAAGGCTTGGTAGTGCTTGGGAAGCAAAATTCAATTAGGTTATGGTGGGGAAAATTGTGATTGAAAACCCCTTCCACCTGAAGTATGTGGATAGTTAATACAATGCTAAACAAAAATCTGCACACCAGTCAAGCCATAAGACTTGCTTTTCCCACAGAAATCCCAAATCAGCAGTGATGTTACAACCGCAAAGGATTCTGGGTGGGCATATGCAAATTAGTTTAACAATATATATATATATATAATGTTAAATTCTGTCACGTTATAAATTCTTAAGTTGCTGTACAATATTTATGTATTCTAAAATGAATTAAAAAGTTGGCCGAGCCACAGCAGCTATGAAAAAAAAGTGTCTGCAACTTTACCAGAATATCCTGTAAAATATGCCAACACACAGAGCTGTCACTTTTCAGATTTGCTGCACCATATTTCTGTAGATTCCCTTTGTGGTGTCTGGCTGTTTTTAAAATTCTGCTCTCAGAGGTTATGAACTTAACCAGGGTGTATTTCAGGGCTCGTTCGCCCGGTATAGGCTTTGATTCAGTAATGTATTCTTACAACTATAGTGCCCTATGTCGCCGAACGTTTTCTTACAAAGCATGAGGACGTTCAGGATCATTTTGATGGAGTCAAACTCCATGAAACTGCAGGAAGTGTCTCTATTGGCTGCCTTGTAGTTTCTCTGTAGTTTCTATAAAATTGCACTGTCTTACATTGCAGGATTAAGGGAACAGGTACACTGCACCAAGGTCACTTCAATGCGATTAAATGAACACTATCACTGCCACCCATTGTTGGAATGAGCTATTTCGGTATGACTAATGCTTAGTTACACTCCACCTTAGCCATACATTTTAGCAAGTGGGGCAGCCATGTTCACACGAAAACCCTCATTAAGTGTTAAACTGTTCTAAACCTTTTAAACATTAATTGTAGGACAGCACCTTTAAATTACGCTGTACAGCTTGTTAGGTATGGTTGTTTTAAGTCAATCAGTATGTTTATATTTGGCATAGAAAGAAAATTGAACATGTTGTTTATGGTGAGAACTGTTGTGATTTGTATTAAATATACATATATGCATCTCTTCTCTTTCCCAGATCTGCGGTTTGCAGCTGACGCCAAAGTATTCGCGATTTAGAATCTGATCGTTTACTTCAGGAAATGCACTTCAACCAGATAAATAAATATTGATTTAATGGGTAAGCATATTTTTGTATACCATTAAGACATGTTAATTATGCATTTGTGAGGCCTCTACGGGGACAGCCAATCTTGGATCATATAAACATAGAATGTGACGGCAGATAAGAACCATTCGGCCCATCTAGTCTGCCCAATTTTCTAAATACTTTCATTAGTCCCTAGCCTTATCTTATAGTTAGGATAGCCTTATGCCTATCCCATGCATGCTTAAACTCCTTTACTGTGTTAATCTCTACCACTTCAGCTGGAAGGCTATTCCATGCATCCACTACCCTCTCAGTAAAGTAATACTTCCTGATATTATTTTTTAAACCTTTGTCCCTCTAATTTAAGACTATGTCCTCTTGTTGTGGTAGTTTTTCTTCTTTTAAATATAGTCTCCTCCTTTACTGTGTTGATTTCCTTTATATATTTACCGTATATACTCGAGTATAAGCCGAGTTTTTCGGCACATTTTTTGTGCTGAAAAACCCCAACTCGGCTTATACTCGAGTCACTGTCTGTATTATGGCAATTTACATTGCCATGATACAGACTGGGGGCTGGCAGCGAGCGCTTACCTCTCCTGCAGCTCCTGTCAGCTCCCTCCTCCTCCGCGCCGGTCCGGTCAGCACCTCGGTCAGCTCCCAGTGTAAGTCTCGCGAGAGCCGCGGGGTCATAGTGCGGCTCTCGCGAGACTTACAGTGTGAGCTGAGAGAGGAGCTGCACGGACCGGCGCGGAGGAGGAGAGAGCTGACAGGAGCTGCAGGAGAGGTAAGTAACAGCTCTGCCAGCCCCCCTCCTCCCCCACTGAACTGCCAATGCCACTGGACCACCAGGGAAGGAGAGCCCCCCTCCCTGCCATGTATCAAGCAGGGAGGGGGGACAACAAATAAATAGATTAATAATATACAAATATAAATAATAATAATAATAAAAAAAATAATATAACAAAAAAATTAAAATAATATTAATTAATAATATATAAATAATAATAATAAAAAAAAAAATAATAATAATATAACAAAAAAATTAAAATAATATTATTATTATTATTTTTTTTTATAAAAATGCCCACCCCCCCACCAAGGCTCTGCCACACAAACACACACTGCATCACACACACTGCATCACACACACTGCATCACACACACTGCATCACACACACTGCACTCATATACACACTGCACTCATATACACACTGCATTTATGCACACACACTGCATTCATACACACACACTGCATTCATACACACACACTGCACTCATACACACACACTGCATTTATGCACACACTGCACTCATACACACACCGCACTCATACACAAACACTGCATTCATACACACACTCTGCATTCATACACACACTGCATTCATACACACACACTGTAAATAAATATTCAATTAATATAATTTTTTTAGGATCTAATTTTATTTAGAAATTTACCAGTAGCTGCTGCATTTCCCACCCTAGTCTTATACTCGAGTCAATACGTTTTCCCAGTTTTTTGGGGTAAAATTAGGGGCCTCGGCTTATATTCGGGTCGGCTTATACTCGAGTATATACGGTAAATGTTTCTATCATATCCCCCCTAGTTTAAACTACAGAACTGATTAAAAGCAGAAACTTTTTTTTTTTCTTTAAGTTTTCTTTTCTTTCTTTTTTTCCCTCATTTTGAGCTGGACATCCCATGGTCTGTCATAAAATTTTTAGTACACCATAAACTACTTTTATTACAGCTCTGGGGTCAACAGTTCTGTTGAAATATTCCAGTTAATGGTTCCTCTAGTGTCATGGCATTGCAGCCATGTTTTTTAGGCCTCACTTTTCCGAGTGCATGCTCAGTACTTGAATTTATCGTTCGCCATGTGTTGTAAATATATCAACTAGCCTTAGCTCCACTGAGTTTTGTATGTTCTCCTCCAGGAGCAAGTCTTCAGAGCAATTTTCACAAAGCAACAGATAATAAATCATGTTTTTCTTATTTAAAAGAAAGAACTTGGACAATAATGGCATACTAAAATGCATAAAAGAAACAAACACACACACACAAAACCATTTAGGAACCCTTTTAAAGGACCAATATGTATTGGTTCAGAAAAAGAAGATACTAAAAAAAAAAAAAAAAATACAGCTACCAAAATTGTGTTCATGCATTGCAAAAACAGTGTAGAACACTCAGTCATAAAACGTATTGTTTGGTAAAGTGAGGATGCACTAGTTCATTAGCACAGGGAATCCCACAAATCTATAGATTTGCTCATTAACGCATGGAAACACTGATGTCTACATTCTGGGAAAATTTCCCGAACCTAGACCAGCTTTCTAACGTGGGGAATACCTAAATCCCCACGCTAGAGCACTGGACGTAAGTCAGAGTTATCGCAAAGTGAGAACCACCTGTGCTTCTCTTTAAACTCCGTTAAGTGGGTGTGTTTCACCTCCCCTCGCCTCCGCCACCACACCTTTCAGCCCTCGCTACACCGATCTCCATCCTGCAGCGCCGCCTCTTTGGCCGAGATCAGCAATGTAGATGATTTCAGCCAATCCTTTGCTTCCCCTGGGAAAACATTGGGAGGTTAGTGTGCATCTAATGTATCTAATGTCTGTCAGGGATGTAAAAATTGCCATTCTTGCAGAACAACAATATTTTCAGTTGCAGGATTAAAACTACAATGACATGGCACCCAGTCTACTTTATAGAGATGAAGTGGTTTGAGTGCTATAGAATACCTTTAATAACTTTAATCGACCACAGGAGGCTATTGCAGGCTCTAAGTTAAGTACACTGTGCAATAAGAGAAGGTAAAAAAAAAGACTTCTATTTCAGGTATTTAGGGATGCTGTGTTAGTGGGGAGGTGTAGCTAAAGATGCATTAAAAACGTGATTTAATTCCAAAATGGTAGATAATTGAGCAGTGCGACAGCAGGGTCATGATCTATACATCAAAATAACTCCTTAAGCAAGTTGTTTTGGTGCTTAGTGTCCCTTTAATAATTTGCATTTCCTGTTGGGAAAAGCAAAGCAGGAAATGCAAATAATTAAAGAGACACTTAACAATTGTGATTATTTTCTTCAAAAACTGTATATTTTTATTTTTTTTAAAACATATTTATTTATGTATTTCAGCTCTCTTGAAGATGCACTGGACACCAGAGCATGCCCAGCCCCTTAACCAGTGGCCAGAACAGCACCTTGATGTTTCTTCTACAACTTCCTCTCCAGCTCACAAATCAGACCTTTTCCATAGTAGCCGGCAGAGATTAAACTATGCCTGGGCAAATGATGATATTTCAGCGCTGACTGCTTCAAATCTTTTAAAACGATACGCAGAGAAATACTCTGGGGTCCTGGACTCGCCATATGAGCGATCCACACTAAATACATACACAGATGGAGCTTTTGGGCCTGTTAATGGACAGAAGGGTGACATTGAGCCTTGGCAGATATCACATGGGTCTGATAGTTCCTATGCAGTTAATGCCTTACATGATAGTTTGTCTGGCTCCAAACCAGGCAATGGACCTATTGGACTGGGAAGCCCCACAGTAGCATCTGGCAGCCTTCCTGATCCTATTTATCCGGGTGGTACATGTGGTGGCGGCAACCCAGCAAGTGGTCTTGTAACACCTCAAGATTATACCTCAACCTATAGTGGCACCTATCTACCATCAGGGTATTGTGGTCAACCCGCCTCAGCACTTCCCCCTACCCACCCATCATCTCTGCATGGGTCAGGACTTCAGCCACCTCATGCTTCACCAGCTCTGGTTCACGGTTATAGTTCTTCAGGCACAATATACAATTACACTTCAAGTAGTTATCCTGCTCAGCCTGTATATGGAGGAATGCACCCAGCCCACCCTTCAGGATATCTGTCTTCAGGTATTGCTGCACCCACACCTCTTCCACCCCATACTACATCATCAAGGCCTCCTGTGGTCCCTGGATACACTTACCAAAGTTCAAGCTTACCACCAATTCCAGTGACTCAGCTAAGCACAGAGTCAGGTGGTACCTTAAAAAGGAAAGCTTTTGACTTGGCAGCAGCAGAGGAAAGTGAAGGCAGGTATAGAAAATACAGCTATGAACAACCAAAGTCTACCTCTGATTCTTCGTTTCAGATGTCTGATAGTGCTCCAAATGAATGTCGAGGCAATGGATTCAGCCGTAGTGCAGACACTCCGCAGGTCCCCTTTAAAACTGGAAAACGTCAGACGGAAGAAGAGCAAGGAGGAAAATATAATAGCCAATCAATGAAAGCAATGGTCTCTCCAACCTATCCCGAAGAAGGGCCACTGAGATCAAGTGAAACATTTGGTAAGTTCCCTCCCCCAGTAATTAATGGTGAGAGGAGAGGCAATGAGCAGGCACATATTTTTGCACAAAGAATACAGATTTCAGGTATGAAACCACCAATATTTTGTAGCCCATCTGAAGAGCAATTAAAAAGTATGGACCCTCTTGTACTGGAACTTGTTAATAATGAAATTGTTGACTGTGGCCCTCCTGTACAGTGGACTGACATAGCTGGTCAAGTGTCTGTGAAAGCTGTTATTGAAGAAGAATTAGTATGGCCTATCTTAAGACCTGGTGCATATACAGGAGCTAACAGGCCGCCAAAAAGCATTTTACTATTTGGCCCTACAGGAACAGGGAAAACTCTGTTGAGCAGGTGCATTGCAACTCAGCTGGGCTCAACCCTTCTGAAGCTCAGCAGCACTGTACTCCTCTCCAAGTGGAAGAGCGAGAGTGAAAAAATCTTACAAACTGTGTTGTTCATGGCAAGCTGTCATCAGCCTGCTGTGGTTTTTATCAGTGAGCTAGAACTGCTCCTCTCTGTTCACATAAATGAGGAAAACACTCAGTTAAACAATCTTAAATCTCAACTGCTTTCCTTTTTGGATAATATAGCTACCTCTTCCGATGATAACATAATTTTTATTGGAACCTCACAAAGGCCTGATGATCTTGATGAAGCAGCTCACCGGAGATTTGCCAAGCGATTTTACATTTCTCCACCCGATAATCTAGCTCGGAGGCAAATACTCCATCACACTTTGGCTCAACAAAACTACTGCCTTAGTGAAAGAGAAATGGCCTTGTTGGTCCAGCACACAGAGGGTTATTCAGGCAGTGAGCTGATTCAACTTTGTCAACAGGCTGGGGCCAATCATCTCCATGGCATTGCTGGGCAGATGCAGCCAACGTCCTACAAAGACTTTGAGGGGGCATTCTGCAAACTTCAGGCCAGTAACTCTGAAAAGCAATTGGACTTGTATGTGAAATGGAATAAACTGTATGGTTCTAGACACTAACAATGGAATGTTCAATGGATCACTATATTGACACTACACTGGCGTTGTTTTTGTTGTGATGCGTGTTGCGTCTTCAGCTTGGGTGAAGACATTGAAGAAAAAAAGATTTCCTTTATTTTCTTCACAAAACCTCTATGTGATCATTAGGTGACGGTAGAGGGGCATTTATTTTCATGTGTGTATATATATAAACCTATCTGTATAGATAAATCCGCTCCATTGAATGTTACAGAAGCAAAAAAAAAAAAAAAAACACGATCAAAGATGATTTTATTTTTTTTGAAACTTTTTTTTTAAAATTTTTTTTGCTTTTGGAAAACTGTAAATCAAAAGTAGCTCTTCACTGTACTCAGGATATCTTGTATTTATTGCCAAATGTTGGCAGTGCCACTGTAATTTGGTGACATGGAGTTTGGATGTTACACAAGCATATCATGCTCTCTAAGCCTGCTTCTGTTTGGTGACCTCAGTTATTTAGTTAATCGACAGCAAGAAGAAAAAAAAAAGCCCCTTCATGGCACTTTGGGGAGTCCTTTTTACACTTGACATAGATTAGGTGACCAGGCAAGAGCAAAGGTTTGCAGTATCTGAGGCTCAAGAACCAACAACTAAGAAGGGATGGAAAGACAAGTACAATGCTAGCTAGGTTTTAGATTTTTTTTGTTTTTGGGTTTTGTCTTCATTTTGAACTTTAACTTTTGTAGATTTATTTTTTTTTTTCTCCTTTTTTTGTTTTATGTTTCTTTCTAAATACTCAGGAAAAATTTACCTCCGAAAGAATGTGTTTTTAGAACTCAACCTTCTTTTGAAGCATATAGAGTTAGAGATTGTTTAAAAAAAAAAAATGTAAAAAAAAAAAAAAAAGTACTTGAAGGAATTCATTTTGAATGTATTGCCAATGCTTTCACTCCAACTAACAGTATCAACCGCAACATAATATCTTGCAAGCAGTTTTTTTTATTATTATTTTTTTAATCATTGTTATTGTAGTGTTGGTGGAGTTATCTTTTTCTAAAATGTTTCCATACCACGGTAGGTTAGAACTTTTTGGCAGTACCACTTTTTGGCGACTTGTTCATTCAAGCGTCATTTTCTAATTTCAAACAATTATAATATTATAATGTAATATAATATTATAATATATATCATACTTTTAAAATATATATATTTACTGTGTAATCTATTCAGAGCATTTGCCTTGTATGGCACTGTTTTTGTTCTGTTTTTGTCAGTAGTGTCAATTTTCTGTTCAAAGTTTGTTTACATATCTAGTCTGATTTTGCTCATCTTAGCATAAAGGGTTTTTTTGGTTTTTTTTGTGGTGGTTAACGTGGACCCAGTGGCTACAAACATTTCAGACAGAGTTAATTCCTTAGGTATGAACCAATGCTTCTGTCTTTCTCAGTCTGAAACAACTGGTCTCCATTTATATCGCCTACATAAAAGGCAGTAGTGAGTTTTAGATTTACTGCCCATTTGGAAACAAGAATGAAATTTGAGTCTTTTAGCCAAAAGAGGTGTTGCACTGTTCCATTGCTTCAAAGAATACATCTCTGAGCCACAGTACAAAAGATAAAGGTACAACCTTTTATAAAGACGACCTTTCATTTATTTTCAGCTTTACGAAAACAGTCTGTTAGGAAAAGTATTAAAGACAAAAATTGCCAAAATTACCAAAGAACTATTTTAATGTATAAATACAAAATGAAGAATGTGAAATACCAAAGTGTTTATCTTCTTAGCAGTAGAATGCCGTTTGATGTGCACTGGAACATACATTAAACTCCTGGTTACAGAATGTCCCCTACGTGGTTTACACAGCTCATCTCTCTGTGAGCAAAGCATCTCTTGGAAAATTGTTTAGTAATTATTAAGGCTGTTCTTTTTCTTTGTGAGCGCCATTTTCGTGTGAAAATGTGTTTAACTTTAAACCAAAGTTTGTTGTTAGAGTAATATTTAAAGACATTGTATTAGAAAATTCTATTAGTTTTATAGAACATATTTAATCATCCAACCTCTCTGTTATACAGTTTGGAGTCAACATAATAAAAACACTTTTTTTGTTATTTTAATATTAATTCAGACCAAAGAATTAAAGAATGTCATGATTGGGAATTTCAATTATTGCAAGTAGGCAAACTCGCTCACCCTGTGGCCTAAACAATCAGTGTTCCTCTTTATTAACCCTCCATGTGCCAAAGGGATGAGAGTGCACTCATGTTTCGGTAGCTTAAAAAGGACCTGGGAAACTACAAAAACAGGTGATACCTCAATAATAAAAAAAAACTATTAACAGCTATATTTATGGGTTAATTTCTTTACAAAAGCTGCAAACCAAAGCTGATTAGACATCCTTTTTGTTTTAGTGATTTTTTTATTTTTTTTATTCACTCCAACCTGCATTAGATGTTCGTTTCTGCTTCTCTGGTGTTTAATGATTCATACCTGCTTCACTTTGATTTTTCACAGGATTTGATCTTTAGAGGTGTTCCGACATTAAATCTCTCATCTGTGGGATTATATGTCACGTTGTATTGGTGCCAAACTGTGCTGAAACACTCCTAACTACCTCGACTAAAGGAATGTCCTTACTGCATTCTGTATCTTGGGAGTCCCTGACCGTTAATAATGTCTGATTGATGTTCAGTAAAGATATCTCTTCTTCTAACAGCCAAGGGACAGCTGTTGTGGTTAATCATTAAGGAGTGGATGTCATTAGTACTGTCATTAGAGAACTTGTAATTTTGAAAACCGAAATTAAATATGCCCAATCCATTTATCTCTGATTGTTTAAACCTTCCTGAGATGCAAGTGTAGCTTCAGAAAAAAAAAAGAATATGGTGGAAAAAGATTGTTACCCTTTTAAAGCCTTCTCACCCGCAACCACCAGATTTTATACAGAGAAAAAATAAGGGAAAACAGTTTGCAGTATTGGACTGTAGGAATGTGAATAATTCTTTATTTCTTTATGTATAAAAGATTTCAATCAAACTGTTTTCTTTTGTGATTTCATACAGTTGTAACACACTTTACATTGCAGAACCAATGAAGAATTTAGTGTGTTTGTTCATTGCCATTGGATGTGGTACATGTTGTCACTAGGGTAAATCCATTGAAATTAAGAAAATTAAGGGAGTTGCAGTTAGCCAAAAGTACATAATGGTAAATGAAGACAATACAATGTGTGTGTGTGTGTGTGTGTGTATGTATGTAATGAAAACAAAAATAGTATTGCATTATGCAGTGATACCTTGTTTAAATGAACAAACATATTGAAAGCTAAGTACTTTTAATATGCAGAGTTAGTCTAATTAAAAAAAGATCTCTGTGGTGTGATTTTTTTGAATTTAACATAATTTGCTATCTAGGATTAACTTCTTTCGGTGGTACACTCCTGCCCTAAATTATCGCATAATTATGTGATTGTTCTTTGTGATATTGCATTTATTATAAAGTCATGCATGCATTATATTCCTATATTTAAACAAATAATATGTAAGAAGGGAAAAAGCTAGCACTGCATACTGCAATATTCTTTTTTTTTTTTTTGCCATCTGAATTTCTTAATTAACATGCCTACACTATTCTAGACACACAGAGGCATATATACACCTACAATCTAGGCAATGAGCACTCTAAACCAGTTTAAATGTGACATTGTCCATTTTCTCATGATTGTATGTAAACTATGTTTAATCCATCAAAATGATCAAGATTACACTGCAGTTTTTTCATTAACATGGCATGCTAAGTGTCTTCTTTGTATTTTGTTTTGAATACATTTATACATACATTGTTTTGAATTTAAACACCCAGGCACAACTAGGGATAGCCCCAAATGTAAAGAAAAATGTAAGAAAGTTATAGTGGAGACCGCCACAATTTCAATCTAAACACGCATACTTAATATAAATACACAGATCTAGATCACTGCTGTTCTGTATCTATATAGCTGCATACACCCAATTACACACAAACCAACTTGTTTCAGCAATTTCAGCAACTTTTTCCAGCACCCTTTTTAAACCCTATGAGGAACAACAAATGTGAAACACAGCTAGTAAATTGTATGTAATTCTGTAATTGACTGGCTTGAGCTGTGGATTTAGGTCAGGAAATGAATACATCATAATAAAGAATTCTCTATTGGCATAAAAGGGCTTATCTTGCAATGAAACACAAGCGTTGTGTGTTACTCAAGGGGTTAGTGTTAGAGGCATACCACTTCCAAACAATGCTGGCTTTGTGGATGTAATTATTTCCAAGTGTTTTGGACTAAAACTGCCAGATCCGTTATGGGGTATGTCCCTTTTCTCTGACAATATCACCTTGTTTATACCCCGCTTGGTTTGCATCTTAAAATTCTGGAATTTGAATCCCTACCTAAAAATAATGATGTTCTTCTATTTTGACTTTCACAGAATTGCTGTTTTAGAGCTTAGACTTGCACACTGTGTACAGCTTTCTGTCTACCGTGTCTCATATTTACATTTTTTTTTTTCTTTCTGATGGATGGTGTATTTGTGGTGCAGTGTGGATATGATGTACTTTTTTTAAGGCCTTTGAAATGTCATGGGTTTTAAAATGCACTACGAAAACTGAAGAATGTGTTTACTTGTAAATGTAATGCGATTTAAAAAAAAAAAAAAATCTTGCATCATTTTAAACTTTGGAATAAAGAAGTGATGTGTATCTCTGATTCAATCTTTACTGGGTAATTTCCTTTTTTTTGTACATTTTCTGAGTTTTGATGACCTTTTGTTTAATTGATTTGTGCTACTTTTATATCAGATATTACTACAATACATAATCATTAGTTGTATCTATTATGTTTGGAGAATCAACAGCATACTGCAGGTCTAGATCCTCTGAAACACAACTTAAAGAAGAACTGTCACATCTGAGGTTTTTGCAAAACCTGATCACTAACTGAAAGCTAGCTATGGGTTGTATTATTTCTAATTATTGAATTGTATACCATTATTATTTTTTAATTTACATTACAAACCAATGGGTGCTCAGGAGGTAAGTTGTTTTTTTTTGTTTCTTGTTTTCATACACTTCCCCTCAGCTGCACTTCTTACCACAGTAAATGTGTAAGTAAAGTTTACAGAGGAGATGAGAAATGTTTCCTCTCAGAGAAGTGACAGCTCTTCTTTAATTTGTCAGACACAAACACAATGACACAGTAGGACACAGCTTGCACTCTAATGACCATTAACAAATATACATATTTTGTCGTGTAATAAACTATTGACTGAAAAATAAAATGATGGTATTTGTCTTCTCGGTAACAAATATTTTATATCTAAATGTAAAGATAAAGATCAATATTCCATTTATTTACAGTAAAAAAACAAGTGTGTGTGTTTGTGTGTATATATACATACATGCGCACCAATTTTTTTCACTTTATGTGAAATGCAAATTATGTCATGTAAGACCAATTACAAGAATTTGTTAGGTCTTTTTGTTTATAACCTGAAATATAAATTCTGGTACTACAGCTGGTGTAAATTGTCCTGTCTACACCAATATTTTTTTTTTATGGACCAGGTTTACATCCATAATACTAGCTTTAAAGTTGTAATGCATTCCCTCACCACTAGGGACACAAAGCCCTGGCTCCCAATAGTTAATATCCTTAGGGGAAAAAGTTAATGACCTCAACATTAACAGTGTGTGCAACATGTTCGTCATCAATTAGAACTTAATAATGTTTTTTGCTATTACTGTGTATTCTCTATTTACATTCATTGTGTTGTGTGATTTTGTTCATCTTTGTAGAATAATCATCTAAAGCCATAAAAAAAAAAAAAAAAAATCCTGTATCCCATTGGTTACTAAATGTTCAGCCATTCAACCTTCCATCGCTTTTTTTTATTTTTTTTTATGTGTATATATATTTTTTTACTGTATGTGATCATAGATGTCTATCTCATGCTTCTTCTATGCTCGAATATCTTACATTTCACTATTCCAACATGAAGTGCTGGCTTGCTCGTATGAATTACATTTTCCAAAAAGTGGTACTGCATCCTCTTTAGGACGTTCTTGTCAGACCGTGTTACGCTCTCTGTAACCATTTCTACCTCATTTTGCAAAGTCTTGTACATGAAGTATTTATTTCATGTCTTTTTAAAGTTGGGATGCTCTTGAGCTGTAATGGTCTACCTCAAAAATACTGTATTTTGAAAAAACAAAAAAAGTATTACACAGTATTAAAGAGATTATGTGAACTTTATCAGTTGACTGATTGTTTTATTTTTACTGTTTCTGAGTTTTGTATTGTTCATGTAAACCGAGGGAGGATTAAGAAAGTTTTTTTTTTTTTTTCTTCTGACAATGCAGCGGATGGATGTTTTTCACTATGTGCCTACCAACGGGCTGGAATTTCAGGATATCCAGGCTTTACTGCTGGTGTATTAATCAGTGTCTCGTTGTCACTAATACGCTTGGGTTATCTGGAAATACTGGACTCTTGCAGAGTCATGACTGGTTTTCTAAACACTACATTAGAGGAATTGCCAAGAGTGGTGTTTAACTCTCTTTCCTAAACGTTGATTTTTTTTTTTTTTTAGCTTAATTAAGCAGACTCCCTGTTCAATTCTCCATCATTTAGGAGTTAAATACGTGTTTTTGTAGCCCTAGCAACACCTGGCAGTGACTCACATGGTCTCCAAGTTTTCATTTTTAATCAGATCTTACAGCACAGTGTGTTTACTTTAGATGTTTTTATCTCCTGTTCTGTTAATGTAAATTTAATCACAGAAGGGAGCCTGCCATAGGCTATAGTAAGCACTTAACAGAGCTGTAGTTAATGGGATACTATTGGCATCAAAACAACTTTAGCTTAATGAAGCCATTTTACTGTACAGATCATGCTCCTGTGGTCTAACTGTTAATTTCTCTGCCATTTAGGAGTTACCATGCAGCCCTTGCCACACCTCCAGGGATTAATCACATGTTAACTTACTTTATAAGTTTTTATATCCTGCTTTGTAAATTGAACGTTAGTCACACACCTCCATGCTTGGTAATAACAAATCAGGAAGTAAGAAATTCTAAACTAAACATAATGGGCCATTATAGAAGCTTAGATCTATCTTTGCAAAAAGTGTCTAGGAAGACTGTGTAAGTCACAAGTGGGGGGAAGTGTGGTTAGTGCTGCATAAGCAAAGTGATTTAACTGCAGGGTTATGATCTATACACCAAAACTGCTTCGTTAAGCTCAAGTTGCTTTGAAGCCTATACTGTCCTTTAAGATTCTAAATTAAAACAGACTGCAATAAGGAAAATGTGAAAAAAAAATAGACTTCATCATTTGGGAGATGTGTAGGGAGGCCATGTAAGACACTGTCAGAGGAGGTGAATCCAGGGGTGCAGAAACAGTGATTTAACTCCTAAATGGCGGATAATTGAATAGTAAGATTGCAGGGGCATGAGCGGTATACTAAAACCTCATTAAGCGAAGGTTGATTTTGTGCTCAGTGCAGGGCCGCCATGAAGAATGACCACCATGACAGTTGTCATGTGCCCAACGGTCCTAGGGAGTCCAGGGCCCCACAGTCCCTATGTGCGCAAATATATTGATTATCACAATATGTGTGCACCTGCAGGCTTCCGACTATCTGTACACCGCAGAGGGGGCCCAGCACACTCCATCTTCATTTTCCAGCTTATCTCTAACTCTCGCAGGGTGCCATGGCAACGCTCTGTTTAGCACGCAGGCCAGTCTTGCGAGAGTTAGACAGAGGAGCTGGAAAATGAAGATGGATTGTGCTGCACTCCCTTTGTGGCGTACCGCAGCTGCTTCTCCATCATCCACCGGACCATCAGGGAATGCAATCTCCCCGGCTCCCTGTTCAGGTAAGAAGCATGGAAATAAAATAAATGTTAAAAAAAAAAAAAAAATGTTCATTTTACCCCCCTGCCCCCACCCATAGCCTGTTTTACACAACATTTACACGCACTACATCTTTACACAATCACACACTACACAGACTCTGCGTTTACTACACATTGCAAATCACACAAACCAGGTTCTCTGATTTTCAGGAATATGATTCTACTAAGTAAGATTATCATAGACAGCAGCAGAACTACTGCCAGTGTGGCTGCACCCTGAAAGGGGGCCCATTGAGTGACCTATGCACTTAGGGCCACCCAATAGGCATGTGTTAGCAGGGGCCTGGTCGTGGGCTGCAGCGTTTAAACAATGCAACCATGCCCATTTAATAATAGCAGTGCTGCTGCGAGATAGCTGGATGTAAACGTCAGGCTTTCACGAACAGACTGAGCTTTGCGGGAGGGAAGGGAGAAAAAGAAGGCAAAGAGGAGGGAAGAGAGAACTGAGAAAGCCATCTATCCATTGACTCCCAATAGCTTCATCCAGCAGACTGGACACCAGGGAAATCACCCTCCTGCACACAGAAGGCGTGGCTTAAAAAGTGTAGATTTTGATAAACAATGTGTCTGTATGTGAGTATGCTGCGATATTATATACTGCTACACGCACAAATACACCCACACATTTAAATGTCAACAATACATACAAATACTCCCCTACATTCACACACATATACTTAATGCAAAAATGTTTTACATTCAAGCACGTAAACACTGCTCAGTGCTAAATACACCCCTGCAAATTATATGAGTTGTATGACAGATGGAGATCTACCTTTTGGCCACCCTTGCGATAGAGGGGGCCCAAAACAAAGTCTTGCACCAAGGCCCTCTCTGTTAGTTCTGCCACAGATCATAGATTCATTTATATTTGCATATATACTGTTATTTTAATAAACTTATAGAACCTAGAAGTCTATAGTTAAAGGATCACTGTAGGGTCAGGAACACAAACATGTATCCTTGACCCTATACTGTTAAAACAACCATCTAGCACCCCTGGGCCCCTCATGCCTCCCTACAAATAGCAAAAAAATCTTACTTTTATTCAATCCTGAAGCTGTAGCTCTGCATGCTGTTTGACTCAGAATCATCAATAGTCAAAACCTGTCTACTGACCTCATCAGAAGTGGTGGCCTGATCCAATCACAATGCATCCCCATAACATTGGCTTAGAGTGACAAGGAGGCAAATCAGGGGCAGAGCCAGCATAATTAAAACACAGCCCTGGCCAATCAGCATCTCCTCATAGAGATGAATTGAATCAATGAATCTCTATGAGGAAAGTTCAGTGTCTGCATGCAGAGGGAGGAGATACTGAATATTTGGATGCATTTTAGGCAGCCATGACCCAGGAAGGAGCTCTAACAGTCATCTAAGGAGTGGCCAGTGAAGTTATCACTAGGCTGTAATGTAAACACTGCATTTTCACTGAAAATACAGTGTTTACAGCAAAAAGCCAGAAGGTAATGATTCTACTCACCAGAAGAAATTCAATAAGCTGTAGTTGTTCTGGTGACTACAGTGTCCCTTTAAGGTTTATAATTATTTTACATTTTGAATGCAGAGTACAAATAATAATTTGATATGGTTATTCAACAAATATCCAGAACGCATTTTAACAACAGAAATCATTAAAAGCTTCTGAACTGGATGACTTTTATGTCATGTTATGTATTCAGCATGTGAACCTTGATGGAATCCAGATGCACTTGAGTCCATCTCAGATTTAAGACCTCAGTAGATTCACAGTTTAATCAGCAGCTCTAGGTCAATAGAAGTCTTATATTTCACACATATCAACCTTAAATGCAGGTCTTGGTGGGGCAGGAAAATGTGCGGCATATTTAATAAAAGTTCCCAATTCCTGAACTGTTTTCCTTTTGTATTGAAATAAGTGTTCTTATTGAGAAAGCCCAAAACTGGTTTCTAATTTTTCATATATAAATAAAATATATTTAATACTTGTTTATATATAAATAAAATTAGGTCTGTCCAGAAAGTATACAGCCATTGTTAAAGGACCACTATAGTGCCAGGAAAACATACTCGTGCCCCCACCCTCAGGGTCCCCCTCCCGCCGGGATGGATGGAGAGGAAGGGGTTAAACTTACCTCTTTCTCCAGCGCTGGGCGGGGAGCTCTCCGCCTCCTCTCCGGCTGAATGCGCATGCGCGGCAAGAGCTGCATTTTCACAGTGAGAAGCACGCAAGTGCCTCTAGCGGCTGTCAATGAGACAGCCACTAGAGGCTGGATTAACCCTAACATAAACATAGCAGTTTCTCTGAAACTGCTATGTTTATAGGAAAAAGGGTTAACCCTAGCTGGACCTGGCACCCAGACCACTTCATTAAGCTATAGTGGTCCTTTAATATAAAGAGAAGGGTTTATGCGACTTTGATGTAACCTGGCAGCCAAGGAGAGTGGACTGGAATGCACGTGTGAGAACAGTGATGACTTCACTGTACTAGTCAGTACTGTGTGGCAGTCGTATTCAAAATGACTGAGCGAGTAAAACAACGAATCTTCATCAAATTTGGGGTTAAAATCCAACATTCCTCCGCGGAAAATATTCTGATGATTCAAAAGGCTTTTGGGGACGATGCAATGAGTGCAGTGCAAATAAAATCACCCAGGTGACTCAGCCCCTCATCCCATAGATTTGGTGCCCTGGAACTTCTGGCTTTTGTAAAAACTAAAATAACTTTTGAAAGAGAAAAGATTTCAGACTATATTTGAGATTCATATATATACATGACAAAGCAGCTGATGGCGATTCCAACAAAGGATTTTGCAGTGTTTTGACCAGTAGAAGAGACACTGGGAGAACTATGTGAGGTCTAAAGGGCACTGAGGTGTCATTGCCCTATGTACAACGTATCTTGTATATTAATTCTCATTCAAATCACATGGACATCATTATATCCGTGCATATAATCAACGTTTCGACCCTATGGGGAAAAACGTAGGGTCGAAACGACAATCCTTTGCATGGATGTAACATTAATTCATTATTGTTTGTTTTTTCACAAGACCTATGAGTGCACCTTATTGACTTAGTATTATTATTTTATCCAGACTTTTTACATATATATATATATATATATATATACATATATATATATATATATATATATATATATATATATATATATATATATATATATATATATATATATATATATATATATATATATATATATAAAAAGTCTGGATATTATACCCTGAGCCATGTATGGAATTTCTGAATTAGACTGCCATTTCAAATTAATTCACCACATGACTTGTAAAAAGCAATTTTATGAAATATTATGCCTTTTATTAATT